ACCTTATCTCAAAATTTTAAAAAATAAAAATAAAAAGGGCTGGGGATGTGACTTAGTGGTTAAGCGCCTCTGGGTTCATTCCCTGGGTTAAAAAAAAAAAAGAAATCCCAGTTCTATCAATCTCTAGTTATGTGACCTTGAACAAGTTGCTAGCATTAAAGTGGGGGATAATAAGCATACATATCTCAAGAACCATGGAAAGGAGCAAGTGACTTAATATGTATAAAATGTTGAGTTTGGAGACYGACACATTCAGTAAGCATTGGTCGTTTTTTAAGGGACATTTCCCCATATATTATAATTATACTTTATCATCTGATAATATATTGTTTTGCAAATTGATTTTTTATTTCACTTAACAAGAGATCTTGAACATCTTTCCATGCCAATTAATAACCTGTAGATCAACCAGGTCCTGTGGCACACGTCTGTAATCCCAGTGGCTCAGGAGGTTGAGGCCGGAGGATCAGGAGTCCAAAGCTTGCCTCAGCAACTTAGCAAGGTGCTAAGTCTCTAAATAAAATACAAGGAAAAAAAAAAAAAAAGGCTGGGGATGTGGCTCAGTGGTTTAGCGCCCCAGTACCAAAAAAACAACAACAACAACAACAAAAAGGCAGATCTACCCATTCTTAGTGACTACAGAGTATTCCAATGTATAAAATGAATTTACCAAACCAAATCTGGATACTTTTAGTTTCATTATTTGACCATGTCATCCATAAATAGCATTCCTCCATTTTTTCTATTAAGAAAATGCCACAAGGGGCTGGGGTGGTGGCTCAGTGGCAGAGCACTTACCTAGCATGTGTGAGGCACTGGGTTCAAATCTCAGCACCACATATAAATAAATAAAAGGTCCATTGACAACTAAAAAAAATGTTGTAAAAAAAAAGAAAATGCCACAAGAAATATTACTGGAAATATTTTTATTTATTTATCTTCAAAATGTTTTTTAAAAAATTTTTATTTGTTCTTTTTAGTTATACATGACAGTAGAATGCATTTTGATATATATATATATATATACACATACATACATGGAGTGTAACTTCCCATTCTTGTGGTTCTACATGATGTGGAGTTACACTGGTCGTGTATTCATACATGAACATAGGAAAGTTATGTCTGGTTCATTCTACTGTCTTTCCTATTCCCATGCACCTTCCCTTCTCCCCCATTTCCCCTGTACAATCCAGTGACCTCCACTCTTCCCCTCCCACTTTGTGAATCAGCATCTGTATGTCAGAGAAAACATTTGGTCTTTGGTTTTTTGAGATTGGCTTATTTCACTTAGCATGGTAGTCTCCACTTTCATCCATTTACTGGCAAATGCCATAATTTCATTCTTCTTTGTGGCTGAATAATATTCCATTGTGTATAGGTATCACATTTTCTTTATCCATTGCCTTGTTGAAGGGCACCTGGATTGATTCCACAGCTTAGTTATTGTGAATTGAGCTGCTAAGAACATTGCTGTGGCTGTTTCACTATAGTATGCTTGTTGCTGAAAGCTCGGTCCTTGTCCCCGATGCCAATCCAATCATGAGGACACAAGTTTTGAGAAAAAGGAAAAAGATAGTTTATTGCTTTGCTAGCAAAGGAGAAACACAGGGGATTCCTGTCCCAAAGGCTATGATTCTGTCCATCAACAGGAATAGGGTTTTTTTTTTTAAAGAGGTAATTCAGAGAAAATGAGATTAGGGAGGAGAGATCAGGAAGGAGAAGGTTAGGGTAAAGAAGATCAGGGAGGAGAAGATTAGGGAAAAGAAGATCAGGGAGAAGAAGGTTGGGAGGAAAAAAAAAAAGACATGTAAGTTTCAAAGCCACAAGGGATATACTCAAAGCATCAAGTGAACCCCTGTTACATGCTGATTTTGTTATGCTGGAATTCAGGACCCCCAAAGACTACCAGAGACCCAAGATCGATGTAAGCAGCAAAGAGGTGTTTATTTCGAACTAGCTCGGTCCTCCGCACGCACACACAGCAACTGGTGACGCTGAGAGGCCCGGAGCCCAGGGTTTGCAGCAGTTTTATACATTCTTTGGAGAGGGCAGGGACTTCACATACATCATAGCATCTCTTAGCAAATCATCACACACCGCGAGAAAATCAAATAACAACTCTAAAACATGATTAGCACATTCACTGGCGGGAACAAGTTGGGTAGGGGTGATTGGTCAGTACAAAAGGGGTATTCATTTGAATTGATTGGTTTAAGCCAAGAGGGGTGTGAACTACATGGTTTCCCAACTTGTTATCAACCACCATAAAATACTGGGAGGGTCATCTGGCATCCCAGGTATTTCCCTGTCTCATGCTGATTGGTGGCTGCTAGGGGGCTGCTATGGATCCCCACCTAGCCTGACTGAGTCAGGGACACCTGGGCAGCAGATCTCTCCTGTAGATAAACAACTTAGCAGGGTGGGAATGTGCCTAGGAGTGCTCTGTGGGTTTTTCCAAGGACTAAGGTCATGTCCCTTCCTTGGACAGGCTTTGCTCTGAGGTAGAGGCTGGTTTTTCAATTTTAAGTCCTTTGGGTATATGCAGAGGAGTGAGATAACTGGGTCAAATGGTGGTTCCATTCCAAGTTTTCTAAGTAATATCCGTACTGCTTTCCAGAATAATTGCACCAATATGAAGTCCCACCAGCAATGTATGAGTGTTATCTTTTCCCCTACATCCTCACCAACATTTATTGCTACTTGTATTCTTTTTCTAAAAAAATTATTTTTTGGTTGTACACATACCTTTATTTATTTCTTTATTTTTATGTGGTGCTGAGGATGGAACCCAGGGTCTCGCACGTGCTAGGCGAGCGCTCTACCTCTGAGCCACAAACCCCAGCACTCCCACCACTTGTATTCTTGATGATTGCCATTCTGATTAGAGTGAGATGAAATCTCAGTGTAGTTCTAATTTGCATTTCTCTAATTGCTAGTGATGTTGAACATTTTTTCATATATTTGTTGACCATTTGTATTTCTTCTTCTGTTAAGTGTTTTTTCTTCAAAATGTTTTTAAGACAAATTTATAGCTATGGAAATGCTGGGCCAGAGAATATGAATGTTGAAAACAAATTATAGCCGTTGCCGAGTGCCTAACAACTTTTTATTTTTCAGGTCAATTGCATGCCTTTTTGTAAAGACTTTGAAAATATTTTACACATTAAGAAAGAGAGGGCTGGGGTTGTGGCTCAGGGGTAGAGCGCTTGCCTAACATGCATGAGGCATTAGGGTCGATCTTCATCAACACATAAAAATAAAAATAAGATACTTTGTCCAAAAGAAAAATATATTGTGTCCACCTAAAAACTAAAAAATAAATGTTTTTTGTTTTTTAAGAAAGAAAAAGAAGGGCTTTTAACAGGTAGAAAATTTGACTGTAGGGCACAAGATTCTATCTATTTCATGCTCCCAAAGTCTAGAAGGAAAGTTCTTCTGATCTTCTAGAAACAGTGGGTGAGGTACTGCCCAAAATGGAAAGGGAAAGAAATGTTTGAAGGTAATTTAGACCTTAAGGCAATTTCACAGATCTTTTGGTCTTTGGATGGAGAAGCTTCTTGTTTTCAAATATTCATGCTCCCTCAGGGCGGGCGGCTCAGTGATGCCCTCTGCCTCTGAGTTCTCCTCTGAATCTCTAATTTCCCCCTAACAGTTGCCCAATCCCTCCTCTGCTTTTAAAATCCAATCCCCAGTCACACAGCACAGGCAAATTAAAAGAAACAGGCCTCTTATTCCACCTCCACCTCCATCTTTTACAGGTGGGGATAGTGAGTCCCAAGAGGAAAGAACTGTCTCTGGTCTCATTTCCCCAACCAACTGGCTCTTGGTCCTATTTTTCCTCTTGAGTCCTTTTTGTCTGCTCCAATTTGGTGGTCTGGGAGCAATTCTGATTGATTATCTTGCCTGGGAAAATTCATCTTATTTTGCAACCCTACCAATCAATATCTACAACTTTCTTTGGCTGGGAATTCTTGTTTGTATCTCCTCCCACCCCTTGGGCAAATATCTATTTCCTCTCTGACTTATCTTAACGCCAGGGCTTCCTTCTTCTCTGACTCTTCTTGAGTTACATCTTTCCCTAAATCTAGGGCACAGTCACATGTCTAGGAAGACAGTCTGATCTGTGTCTGTTTGTCTGCCTGTATATCTGTCTTCTTTTATTCCTCCCTCCTWCCTTCCTTCCTCCGTTCTTCCTCTTTTTGATTCTTTGGCTACTTTATCATACTGATGTCCAGGGATGTCTCAGGAGTAGCTCCAGGGAATAGGCTTATACAAAGGAATGGTTCAGTTAAGCCTTTTGGCATGATGGAGCCACTTCCTCTGTGATTCACAGCCTCTTCACAGTGAGCAGAATGGCTGTCATCAGGAAAGATGGAAAAAGGAGATTGCAAATGTTACATTGTCCCCAGATTTCAAGCTTGTGGGGGAGGGACTTGTGCGGTGAGCTCCTGATTTTTTTTAAATGCACTGAGCAATCAATTACACTTGAAAATTCTTATCTGGATGTAGGCACTTGTGTGGGTTTAGGCAGAGCATTCACTTAGGAGGCATGAAACCATGGTTCACATTGGCTCTGTTTCCTTACAGCCCTGTGACCTTGGTAAGGCACATAACCCATCTTGGCCTCATTTTTCCTCTGTATAAAATCAGAGAATTGGATTAGAACATTTCTGTGGATCTTTTCAACCCCAAATCATGATGAATCTCCACTATCTAGGTATTGACTGTCTTTCTAACTCCATACCGGCTCTCCAGGCTGGCAGATAAGCAGAAGTGTCCATCTCAGATGTCAGAGGAGGAAATGAATCCTGAGGCTTCTGGGTTAGCCTGCATCTTTGCTCTTTCTATTTCTGACCTCTCCAAGATCAGCAGGGAGGCATCCGTTTATTATAGTAATGCTTGTGGCTCCAATATATTCCCCTAAATTTCAGTAAGCATTTTAATGACCTAGGAAAGGAAAATTCTAGCATTAAGCCCTTTYCCCTTCTCTTTCTTCCCCATTGATATCTGTCAATCCCACCCTACCTCTCCAATCTTACCCTTATTCTCAGGGTACTAAAGAGCCTGCTCTCAGGCCACTTTGTTCTAAGATCACCAGTAACAAGCCCAGACTAAGTGCTATAGACCAGAACATGAACCAGGCTGTCAGGAGATTGCTATTGGCACTTGGGGGAGGGGCTGGAGAAGATACCTTAAAGAGGCGCTTGGCCCTAAGTGCTGACCTGGGAAGTTGCTGGTCTCACCTCCACCCCAGGAAACTTCCTCAATGCTGCTGGGTGAGCAGCTTATGCTCCTTTTCTCTCTCTCCTCCTGTTCTCCCACCTCACTGTGCAGGGAAGGGATGGGAAAGTGGTATTTCTTGTTCCTGCAAGGGAACATTTGCCTCCCCTTCAAAGGAGGAAATAACGGAAAGCAGTGGAAAGTCTTCTCATAGACTCCCCAGGCTTTCCCATCCTGCCTCACTTTCTCCTTCTACAGGATGGGTGTGAAAACACCACCCAGGTCCTCACTCCTCCTCCCAGAGGAATGCTGGGTGTGTGGAAATAAAATCAGGCACCCCTGTCATGAATGGTTGACAGTGAAGAGCCCTGACAGTGCCAACGTATTACAATAATATTAAAGATTTAATTTTTCTCCACTGCATTGAAATGCTACCTTGTTCTCATATTTTTTTTAAAAAAAAATTCATTCATTTTTGCTTCATCATCCCGTAAAAGCAACAGCACTGTTTGCGTGTGGACAACTGATCCTCATTCTGTCCTGGAGATTTACATTTCCAGGGGTTCCTGATGCCACACAGTACACGTGTCCAGGGGATAGGGCTCAGAACCACCACCATTAATCCAGGAAATTCCAGATCCTGGGTAACATCATGGCAGAGATCAGTGCTACAAGGAAGGAAGGAGAGTGGAGATGAACAGCTCACACAGAATGTGAGTGTGGTGCACTCACCACTGCACTGACACACACACACATGAGCTGGCCCAGGGAACTAGTGCCACCCTCAGCTGCACTGCAGGCTTGCTGGAAACCCAACGCTATCACCACTTTCTGCACTGCCTCAAGGGAAAAATAAAAGGGATTTTCAATGCCAGGGAAGAATCCTAAATGCTCCTGAATTTTCTTCAGCTTTTTCCAAGGCACAGAATGAGAGAGTCTGGGTCCCAAAATGGACCCAAGATGATTGAATAACCCATTTAAGACCAAATGTGAGCTACGTCCATTTTTTTTTTTTTAAGCAAAAGACTATTTGTGGTAAAGTAAAGCAAAGAGTGACAGCTTCTCTTATTTTCCTCTGTGGGTGACATAAAAATCTGGCCTTCAGAAGACTTAAAACCACTCTCAGTGCTGTTGATAAATATATGGCATGAAAAAAAGAGCAAAATGTGCTACTAAAAATCCTACTAATGATGGGCTTTTACTATGCCTCAGTTCAGCAAGGGTCAGCACTAATATCCCCTTTCCACATAATTATAAAGTGTCAGAATTGAAGTATGAACTCAGGTTGGCCTGACCCCAAATGGAGTTTTTAATCTTCATTAATAATCTGATAGCAGGGGAAAAATAATTATTGTCTTAATTTACATTTAATTATTAATGGTGTTCTGTATCTTTTCATGCTTATTGACCATTTATATTTCTACTTTCAATTACCAGATCATACCTTTGCCTCATTTTTCTATATCTTCCAAATCTAATTGATTTTTAGGACTTCTATGAACATAGAGGTAATTCTCCATTATATGTAACAAATGTTATATTGAGCTATATTCTACCCTAGTGTTAGTTGCTGTTTAATATATGGTTTTGATCTGCTGGTATTCATTTCCAGAAATGAACAGAGATCTATTTTCCCTAAAGGTCTGATATTTATTCCAATAATATTAAAGATTTAATTTTTCTCCACTGAGTTTAAATGTTACCCTATTCTCATATTTTTAAAAAGCTATTCATTTTTGCTTCAGCATCCCCCAAAAGCAACAGAATTGTTTATGTGTGGACAACCGAAGGGGATCTGCCAGAGGCTAGACTATAAAGAGATGAAACTGTCTGCCTTACTCACAAATGCACAGTGAGTCCAAGATCTGGTACAGACCGTGCCCTTGCAGGACAGCTGTGGATGGAAGAAGCAAGTGAATGGGTGAATGCAGACCTCAGCAAAGCTGCAGAATATTGGAGGTTCTAATGAGGTTCAAGGAGTGAGGACATTCAGAATGAATGACCCCAGTGTCCTGGATATGGATAAAATATGCAGGATCTGAGCCCAGACTCTAAGACTCCCTTCATGACTCTCCATATTAAGATAAAATGGCTGCTATTATTTGTCTCTGGTTTTTACAAGTAAATTATTTCAATGTCTTAACTATATTTGTCCTTTGGTATCCTCAGTATGGGTACCCCCTGGGGTACCCAAAATTTACAATATTCAAGTTCCTTATGTGAAATGATGTAGTATTTTCATGCTCCATAAGCTCCCTATACTCTAAAGCATCTGTAAATTACTTGTCACATAAAACAATGAAATGCTACGTAAAAAGTCGTTCTACTTATTATTTAGGGAATAACAAGAAAAAAAGACTGTATATGTTCAGTAATGACAAAWTTTTTTTTTCTTGGATGGAACCCAGGGGCACTCTACCGCTGAGCTACATCCCACAGCCCTTTTTATTTTGAGATAGTGCCTTAATAAATTGCTAAGGCTGGCCTTAAACTTGTGATCCTCCTTCCTTAGCCTCCAGAGTCTTTGGGATTACAGGCTTATGTTAACGCTCCTGTTTTGCCAGCAATTTTTGTTTGCTTGCTTGTTTTCTTTTTTAAAACCTGAGAATCAGCTGGGCCTCAAGTCTCTTCCTAGTTCTTCCTTCCTCTAGAGCATCCAAAAACCTTTCCTCTGCATAAACAAGGATGTTGGCCACTTAGCTACAAAGACCATAAGACCCTGGTTTCCAGACCATCTTCCCTTCAAATAGCCTGTCCTATTATCAAAACAYCTCTGGCTGTGGAGCAGCTGTCCTGATGGCCCAGGCACGCAACTGTAGAGGGACCTGGAGAACCCTCACTTTCTTGCACCATGACACTATTTGACAGTCTGAAGTCAAGTTTTGTACCCAATCTTTCTTGCTGCTCCTAGCATGCACTGGAATGAGGAAGTCTGCAAAAATCCTTTTCCATACAGGGTCCATCTTGCAAAGCTCCAGTGCTAGGGCTGCAGGTCTTGAGCCCAGAGAGGAATAAGCTGACTGTCCCTTTTCCGCCCGGCAGGTGGTGATCGAGTCGGACCTCTACACTCCCCGGCCACTGGAGCTGCTGCCTCACCGCAGCGACCGTCGGGATGCAGTTGATGGCCGCAGGTTCGGCCGGCTGCAGAACACTAGGCCTCCAGGGGCGCATCCCACCAAAACCCCCGCCAGACCTGGTAAGTGAGTCCCAGCCCTGTTCCTAAACCGCGCTGCGCGCAGTGACCTCCATAGAGCAGGTTGCACGCCTATGCGTCCTGCCTGGTGTTTTCCAAAGGACCATGTGTTCCTCTGGCAGCCTCAGGCAGGCCAGGTGAGCAGAGCACCTTGGGCGTGGGGCGCCAGGTGAGCCAACACCTGCTCCTTTCCCACACAAATGCTGTTTCCACTAGGAAAGCACCTGCTCTCAGGCCTCACCCACAGCTGCCCTTCATAACACCTGCCTATAAAACACTGGCTTCTGCGTGTGCACCTAGTGAAGTTGCTCTTGTCTACCATCTTGCTCCCCAGGGAGCAGTGCTATACGCAGGGGATGCAAATCATTACGCTCAGGGACATGAAAATCTTGACCCATGAAGCGTGAAGAAGTGAAGGAAGCTCACATTATTTACTTAACCCGTGTGTGTGTGTGTGTTTGCCAATTTACCAAATTTGACTTAATCTATAAAAAGAATTTAGGGGCAAATCTGTTTTGGAAACTGGAAACTTAACAATCTTACCTTGGTGGGTTTGTTTTTTTTTTTGTTTTTTTTTAAATATCTTCCACCCAAACAGTGAAATAGGATTCTGCCTGTGGCCCACTCAAGTCTATGATGACATTTAGCCTTTAMTTTTTAGCAGGTTTAGGATATTTCTGTTATGCCTACAACTTGAAGTTATTCATATTTTAATTCCAAAAATTCTAAGTAGAAAGTTCAGGGGGTCCTTCTCAAAACTTTTGTGCATTAACAATGTTATATTTTATAAGAACTTCAATAAGACTCCCTTGAAAGTGTCCCTTCACCCATCTTCTCTTCCCATCCACTCATGCTGCCCCTCTTGTTTTGTCTTGTTGTTTTGTTTTATTTTCCCTGGTTGGGTGCTAGGCTAGACCTCTAAAGTTTCTTTGGTCACTAAGAACCTGATCCTGCCCTTATAACTCTATGTATAAAAACACTCAAATTGAGCTCCCGTTAAGTGATTGTATATATGTATATGTATGTGAAGTGAAGGCATTAGGAAAACCACAATCTGCCTTGCAAATTAAGAGGAGATGATAAAATTTTTCTCTGTGTCTATGTATAGGTGAGTGGGTGGATGCATGTGTGTGGAAAGAGAAAAAGAGGCAGAATATTTCTATTTGCTACCAAATTGAAGTGAAATTCAAGAGCCATGCTTCTCAAAAATTAGTGTGCAAAAGAATCACCTGGGAGTCTTGTTTTTATGCAGGATTCTAATTTAGGAGAACTAGGTGGGCTCAGAGATTTTATGTTTCTAACACTCTCTATAATGTTGATGGTGCTGCTCCAGAGACAACAGATTGAATAGCAAGGATTTAGAGATGATCTAATGCAATGGTTTTCCAAGTGGGCCCTGGGAGCAAGAGCAGGAGCTGGAAGTTTGTTGGAAATGAAAATTTTATGGAATCAGAAACCTCCAGGTTATGACACATCAATCTGTGTTTTAATGCGTGTGCGCACACATGTGCACACACGATTCTTGTGCATGCTAGAGGCAGAGAACCTCTGATTTACTGCAGCTGCCCCTCTACCAATTTATAGAAGAAGAAACTGAAACCATAGAAGTTGTTTGACTTACCCAAGGTCACACTGCTTATTTGCCATAGCCAAGGTGAAATCTCAGGTCTCTGGATTCCCTAGCTAGTGTCCCTTCCCTCAGGGAATAATGTCTCCCCAACCATCTAGTTTTAGTCACTTTCAATACCTTTCTAAGTAATTTGTATCATCTTGGACTGTCCGAGTCAGTCTTGAAAGACAAGAGCACCCCGTGATGGAATGGAAAGAATCTGCCCAGCACGTGACAGTCAGCTCATGCAGGGATGTGCTAGTCAGATGTAAAAAAAAAAAAGGAGATTGAACTGGGCATTGATTCAATTCCTTCAGCCCCCAGTCTGATAGATTCCAGAAAGGATGGAAAGGAGGGAGCTTTTTTGAGACAAAGCCATATCCTGATGCTCTTCAAATAAAGGCTAGACCCCAATCCATAGGTGTTGAGTCTCACTCCCTCCTCTCAGAAAGCTGTATATCTCTGAGGATCTTGGATCTAGGGACTTAGCTGTATATCTCTGAGGATCTTGGATCTAGGGACTTAGCTGTATATCTCTGAGGATC